ATTTAATTAAAAAATTAGAACATCAACTGCTAAATTTAGAAGCCAATGTTCTAAAATTTAAATTCTCCAAATTTAGCAGTTAATGTTCTCCTAAAGCAACAGTTTTAGGATTTAGTTAAAAATGTTGAATTTCAAAAGCCGAGGAGTATAAAGATAATTTTATATAATGAACACAATTACAAACGATATATGTAAAAAAAACTACAAAAATAAAACATAAGCCATAATAATATATGAGCATACCAATTTAAGTCAGTATGTAAACAACCCGGGTCTACTATACATTTTCTCGGCCAAGAATAACCCAGTTAAATAAATAAAAATATCTGAACCTTCATTAGTAAACTTTAGAAAGCATTAGCATTAGGTCTAATTACTAAAGGCAGCTTATTTACACTTTATGCAGAGAAATTGGATTAAGTGGCAAGGGTTTATGACTTTAATTACTTGAGCCTGATGTGAATTTATGGGATTTATATCTCCGTTTATAAATGTTTCTTTTCATGTAATAGGTTTTTTTATATTGTATATGGTATATTACGTATATCATATGTGAAAGAATTAATTAGATAAAACCTGTTTCTTATGTTAATATATTGTTGTAGTGGTTGAAATAGTAATTTCTCAAAGCCTTAGTTTAGAAGCAGGGATGAATGCAGCAGCATTGTTTTATTAATTGATAGTAACCATTAGGTGGACTATTGTAGAAGATAGAGGAAAATAGTAGAATAGTACTTTTAAATTCTTTATGCTCATGTATTGTGTATCTTATATGTTTAGGTCCCTACTTACATCTTCTAACCAATTGTATACTTGACAATTCTCTCAGTCTCTCGTTAGGTTGACAATGCTTTAAAATGCACTTATTTACTTCTGTAGTATTTCAAAGTATAATGTTACCTAACAAGGTTTTTGACTTCTGTTGCTATGACAACAGAAAGAGTGTACAATTACAAACAGTACTCTACCTTGTTTAAGAAATTTAAATACAGTATGAGATAATGAACAAACTCAGTACAGCACATTGAGCTTCCTGTCGATCTAATGACTAACATTTTTCACAATTAGTGTTTTCCAAAGCTGCTTCCTTCCTTTTCTGTGTTAACTAAATCAACCAGTTTTGCATTACAGAAACAATAAATACTGGCAGACTTTGATGATTTATGTTCCAATGTAAGGTTGCATAATTTTTGATTAATGCATCCTGCATTTAACAAAATATGATGCAATATTCATTTGTCTTTGAAATATGGTTTTACTTCACATATAAATGACAATCAGTAAATGGTAACAAAAGCAACCGAGACCGTCAGTAAATACGGATTTGGTTTGAGTTTAGACTGTAAACCTTTGAGTTTAGATTGTAGGCCTTAAGAGGTAGGCACACCGTTTGCAGTGATATCTGATGTAATATTGCATCAGATTTTCAGTGCATAAACAATCTGAGTGAAGTGTTTTTAAGCACATTACATCTACAGTTTTTGATTATGCAATTTGTTTTCCTTTTTTGCTCCCTTTTTTTTTAAAAAAAAACCTCTTCCTAAAACTTTTTATACTTCTTTATAAGGGCGACCTTTTCCAGTCTAAATGATTGAATGATCGTTTGAATTATTCTTATATAAACCAGGTTTGTTACTTTATATACTGAAGGACTGAATTAAATGTAACCAGACTAAAAGACATAGAATTGACCAACAGATCAGAGGGTATATTAAATGTGTAGATAGATTAAGTGTGGAACAATGGCATCTGAAAATACTAAATGATGTCATTTTACTGAAAAGGGTGGCACTGTGTAGCTCTTGTATTTTAATTTATAGGTCTAGTGCAATCATTTGGAAGAAATTGAGCTGTCATTGCAACATTATCCCTTTCGGCATTTGTAATCTCTCTTACTGCAATCATACAGAAATTCAAAATGAAACTAGCTTAACCTTGAGGGTAAAATATGTGCATTTTGTTATCTCAGAAAATGAGAAAGAAATCTCATAAATATTTCATTTGTACTGTATGTATCCTAACGTTTGTTAAAAAGCAGATTTTCATTGGCAGAGAATGTCACTTGTATATTTTTTCCAGTTACTAATTGTTGTAAAAATGAAAACATTCAGTCCTCATTAAATTTCATCAACATATAATGTATTTTCACAAACTATGCTTGTTTTAAGACATTAGTGGGTTATTCTACAAAATATTTGATTAGAAACATAATTATATTCTTTAAAATGATGTCAATTTAAAGCACATCTGCCTCTTGCATTTGGAGCTTTATACTTGTCAGTCATTTATTAGTTTCCTAAATAACATAGAATACACATAGTCAGATGGCATTTTCCAGTGTTTTAATTGCCTGCTGTGACATAATTATTCTGACATTTCAGGATTTTTTTAACGTCCGGAATTAAATACTGTATTCTGACATCCCACAGAGTTCTAAATGAGGGTAGTCAAACTCTGTTGAAGCTATTAGCAGCTTTTACTAGCTATTCTCAATTTAAAAGTAGCTTTTCTTGATCAATACCAAATTCCATGTTCCAGTAACTTGTTGCTCAACAGTATCTACCTGAGATATATGGTGGTTATTTCTGATCTAATACATATTTTTTTCAACATGCATTGAAATGGAGATGATACAATCCCTATCTGTCAGTGAATGCCAGCAATTTAATTTGGCTTTCCTTTGTTAACACTATACAGAGCTGTGGCAATTCTCTCTGGACATGACTGAAATGTCAGCCTATCCAAAAGTAGACATATTTCCTTTTTCAAATACCAAAATCCTAAGATGTTACTTTTACATTGATAAGCTTAGTGTTGTCTGATTCATGTTGTTCAATTAGTATCAGTAGCTTGTATTTCGTAGGTACCTAACTTAATAAGGTCTTATGATATTTAATTGTTAGCTTTGACTTTCAAAAGTCCTTACTGTAATTTAGTAGTGTTTTGACCTTGAATGTATATTGCTTTTGTATATAGCTATTGTTGTGATCAGTGGAGTGAACATTGATGATGGTTTATCATAATTATAACGCTGTCATACAGGTATATTTCATACAATAATTACATTACAATAATGTTAAGCAACAGTTGATTTTTTTATGAATAATTAGATGAAGATAAAAAAGAGCATGGTCACAGCACCATATCTTATTAAATTTCTATTGCACTATTATCTATCATTATGTAACCTTATTTTGTAACTTTAATTTTGTGATTTTTATATCCCTCCCCAGATAGCTCATAGAAAAGACATTTCATTGCCAGGAACTACTGCTGCGCATTTGATAAACTTTGATTGATTGATTGATTGATTGATTGATTGATTGATTAAAAAGAGGTAAAAAGTAGTGCTTCAAGCCAAACAAAGGCTTTAAAAATGCATACTTTATTTTCTGTGTGATTTTAATTACTGATCCCCAATAGTTAATGTGAGCTAGTATTATTAATCAACTATGCAGGTTATGCAACATAAAACTTTCTTTGACTTTTTGTATTAAAGTAGTCTAATTCAATTCAATTTTCAACAATTCTTGTCTATTTTAAACCAGATGCTCTGTACCCTACTATAGATCGCCATAGATCAGAAAGAAATCGTATGTAGAAAAGTGTTTTTTTTTTCATGCGGATTCAGAAATAAAACTTCCTGACAGAATGCTGCAAGACTTATAAGCCAATCTTTGGCAACCTTTCCGTTTGAACTTGGTGTAAAAATAGTTATAACCATTCAACAGAATATCCAAGTAACAGTACAAAATACAGCACGTTTTAATAATCAGACTTTGTTGTACCATTCACTCCATTTGGGCCATGTAAAATGGATGGAATAGCTTATCTGCAACTCGTTAACTTTAAAATTATGTGTAAGAACTACTTTCTGCTACATTCAATATTTTAAAGTGAATACACTTCTTTCAAAGTAAAACTACTTTTTTCATTTTTAATTCTTCCAACAGAACACATGCACACGTCCTTTTATGCAGCAGATACGGTAGTTTACTTTCACATCTCGCTAAAAGGTACAACGGCAGCTTCCTGCTACTTGCTCCACAAGCCTCTGGTCCTCAGCCCTAACGATTACTCCATGCTGTTGCCAAATATAGCAGGAAAAAAAGCAGTTCCCACAAACAGACTCAGTTTAATACACAAATATACTTGCTCTGTTTGTATTTTATTGAAAAGAATATAGCAGCACACAGAGAGAAAAGAAGTCAACTGTGCAATTTCCCTCTGAATAGCAGCCTTTTCTGTATGAACTGGCACCTCACTGTCTTTTTTTTTCTGGTACCTGTTCACAAAATGTAAGTATATAATTATGAGCGTGTTAAGTACACTATTGGTTCCAATCATGAAAATCCCTACATTTTTTTGGAGACATACTGTATATTTAAGGGAGCAAGAACGGGCTTTGCAATAGCTTTAATTTATATTGAAACATTCTAAAACTCCTCCAAAGGAAAATGAATTGGGAGTGTTTCGCTAGCGTTTTGTTACAGCTTTTTCACATCAAACTATATCGGATTCTAAGCAATCTCTCGCTCTGCTTATGTAGTTTTTTGCTTTCTTTTTTATCCCATTCAATCCCAGTCTTCTCCAGGAGACTACTTCTGCCTGTTCTTTCTCTCTCCTGTATGTTCAAAACGATTTCAAATAGTGGGGGAGGGAGCAGTGTATTAGTGTCCTCCAATGGAGAACCTTTTGATTTGTTATCCTGATTGAAAGTATTTGTGACAGATGAAACCCGTGTTTTTTGTTAGAGCGTGAACAGTTATCCCACCGTAGGGTTACAGAATAAGCACCCTCCTAATTTTGATGTTATTTTTTTTTCATATAGAATATATTTTAGAATATTTTTAAGGCAGACATCAAAACCATGATAAGGTATTTAGAAATACAACATACATTTTAGCTGTTCCCGTAAGCCTTTACACTGACAGTTTATTTTATAACTTTATTAATGAGATTATATTTAACAAATACTATGATTTATAAGGCTTTTAACCCCATATGTGAACAACTAAACTGTATTATTTTCATTTGGTAATACACGCACTCAGGGAACCAAATGTACTGTACAGTGTTTTAGAATTGATGCCGTGTGACTTTTGTACACCAGTTGTAAGCAGAGAATATTCCTCAAGGGTATTTGTCTTTCTCCCGACATTTTGTGTTGTCCTAATTTTGCACTGATCTTCCAAATAAAAAAAAAAACAACAACTTTATTTTGTTCTTGACCCTAATGCCTTCCTACTGTATGTGTTGTCTGCCTCATATACATAAGAGTAAAAAATTCAAAACACTTTCCGAAAGCGATTACAAGGTTCACAAAGCAGAACCGAGAAAGTTGCGAAGGAAAAAAAAAAAACAACTCTCGTTTTTCTTTCTCTAAGGACTCTTGCTATGTTCCTGTCCCAACACTTTAAGGAAAACTACCGAAGTGCGGTTGTAAAAAAACAAATCTAGCACACTTTCGACAAAGAAGTCAACGAAAGCGATGCCCACACAGCTCTCCCATTCTAAAAGCAGCTGCTAAGCCCCTCGTGCCCACTCGCACAGTCAAAGCCGTTGCTGCGGGCGGAGCCCCTCCCTCGCCGGGCCGTGTGACACCTGTCAATCACTGTTGCGTGCGCTCCCACTATGTAAATGACGTCGGGTGACGTCACGCGCAGAGCGAGAGGAGGACAGACAGAATGGCTGCCCAGTGCCGTAGCTCCAAATGCACGGCAGAGAGGAAAGGATTCCGGCGGGAACTCGATTCCTGGCGGCACAAACTCATTCACTGTGTAGGTAAGAAACGAAACCCTTTCCCCTTGCTTGCTTGCGTGCTGTGCGCTTGCTCTGCGGTGCGAACGGAACTCCGTGTCTTGAGACTGGTTTGCAACAGAACCTAAGTTGGCCGGGTTTTAAGTTCATTTTTGAAGAGGTACCTTTCTGTCTCCATTTTCTTTTGTCTTGAGTGACTCGTCGCTTCCGGCAAGTGTCCTGTACCCCGTCGGGAGTCTGTGACAGTCCAGACCGAGCGGGTTTGGATGTACTGTGTGTGTGTTTGTGGCAGCGCTCCGCAGCCGGCTCTATTGTTCTTTTGACGTGTACCGCTAAAACTTGGGAGAAATTGGCTCTGCGGCTTTAAGAGCGCACACTTGCCTTGACGGTTGGGATTTCGTTTTATTTGGATTTTTTTGGTTGGGGGTGGGGGGTGAATTCGGCTGCCATGGCGACGTGATCTGCCCCCCCCCCCCCTTTGTTTCTTGGCCGAAGCAGGGGAGTGTCGGCGCGGACCTTAACGGCTGTCCTTGTGCGGGGCTCACGTGACCGTTCTTGTTTTATAAACAGAAGCCGTATTTCAGCGCCCGAGCTGCGCGTGGAAGCGTCGCGAGCAGGATGTTACCCGCGAACAGTGTGGGGCTTTGTCTGTTACGGGGTGCCTTCGCCTCGCCGGACTGTTAGGAAGTATTGTCTGTGGCGCTTTATCGGTCTCAAAACCCCAACTGTCAAACTAAGACGCGTTATAGGTTGTTTTTTTGGGTGGGGGGGGGATCTTTCGTTTTTTTCTTTCTTCACCTTCTGGGTGACGTTCAGTCGTCTTCCTGGAAGTTGGAGCGAGTTGCTTTTTAATTTGGTGCAATTGATTAGGTCGGAAATCCCGGGAAAGAATCAGTTAAGTGCTCAAAACAGCGAAAAGTGTTCCGTCTGTACTCCCACCTCTCTCCACCAGTGAAAATACACCTGTGCCCTTTTCCCCTCCGAGCACAACATCTGTAAGAAGTTTTTACGTTCCTATCTATGTGAAAAAGGCAGCAGTATTTTGTACTTGTACTATGTAGGTGCCTTTCCTGGATTATGTGCAGTGATGATGCTCTTGGTTGATCGCAATGTATGAGTTAATTAGGGCTTGTTTTTTTCAGGAATGATGTAAATTAAGGTAGTAGTGCTGAGCAGCGTCAGGTGGTTTTTCCTTATGTTGCTGCTTCTGAATAAATTTCCCATTTCCCTTTCAATACCAGACTTACATTTCAAGGATCAACTGCTTTTCAAGAGAGAGCCTTTTACTAAAAAGGCTTTTTAAAAGATTTTCCCATTCTTTTATGCAAGGGGGATTATGTGACATTTTTGTAATTCATTTGGTTGTAGATGTTTTTATGAGTCTTCTTTGTCAGCTATACAGTTTATTTCAAGGCAGTGTGGAATGATGTTTTATGCTATGAATTCAGTAACATTTTTTTACAATTTAAGTAATGTTATAAACCCCTAAACCTTTAAGTAACAAATTTCTAGTGGCTCATTGGTACTTTCAGATTTTGACAAGTTGCTAGAATAGATTTACAAAAGTTTTGACAACCAGAAATGGTCACTAGGAGGTACACTGGTAACCATGGTACGATTTTTCTTTGTGACACAAATTCAATCAAGAATTGAAATGAGATGTGAACATTTTCATGATACACAAGTCTTAAGTCCACAACACTGCAGTTTCACAATAGTACAGCGATATAGAGATATCGTTTGTGGTCTACAATACAAGTAAATGTGACCATTAAAATAAAAAGTATGAAAATGCATTTTAAGTTTTAGGACGTCAATGTGTTTTACTATACAGGAAGAAGGAATGAAACTCACGAATATAGAAACCACCAGTGAATGCATTTCTTTGCAATAGAAAATACAAACCCCGACTGAATACTTGGTATTATATTGTGTTATAAAATGTGTGTAAATATTTTTATTTTAATATTGATTTTGAACTGAGCTGTTTTTTTAAAACGTTTAATGGCAAGCCCATCAATAGTGTATTCACAGATTCTAGATTTTAAAATAAATGTACAGGCACCTTTTGTAACTCGATGCCTTACTGTTTTCCTCTAGCCAAACGCGTTCCTTACCACTGTGATTACATGAATCTGTGGATCCGGCATCTCCAGGCCTGGTCCTGAAAAGCCCCACTCCGGCAGTTTCAGTAGGTTGCCAATTTGTAAAGATCTGGAACAGTTTTGCTGTGATCATTCGGACCCTCATTTGAATAACGGTTGCTCTTTGGACTGGTGATCATTTCAGTGTCCAGAGCTCCATTTATTTAAACAGATTAATGTCTTAATTGATCAAAACTCTCTGGATTGGGGCTCTCTGGGAGCAAGGTTGGATTTTTCTCAGCATTTTTTTCAGACTTGAAAGATCTTACTTCATAATTTTCAGAATCCCTCATGGTAAAAATCACTAGGTATTTGCTTTGGTTACATTGGTTTGCACTTAATTTAGATCATTCTGTTGTAACTCTGGAGCTCACCTGCTGTGTGACAGTTACTTAGTGAGTGACATCTGGGCTTAGTTACTGCATAAGACAGGAAAGTAACTGATCCTCTAAATGATTAAATGGACAAATGTAATTGTTTCACTAGAGTAACCCAAAATCATCACTAACATTTCAATGTTTACCTATAGTAAGACTTATTGTTACTGATATATACAGTTTACTTTAGAGAAACATTCAAATTCTTGCCTTTTCAGTGACCAAACAAATGTGGTATGAACTATACAGGGGGGGGGGGGGGGGCTGTAAGTTATAGTTGAAGGAATTAGCATTCTTCTCTAATTCTCAAAAGACACTGAGAAAGTTTTGTATCACCTGTAGAATGTATACTTCTGAATGATGCACAGCTTAGAATAAAGCAGCATACAATATATAGATAGTGGGCTATAGACAATTTAATGTCTCTTTTAAACCATTGTGTAATACTCCGATAACTATTTTTTAAAAAGGTGGAACAAGTTTCAATTTAGAACTGATAAGGTACTGTAACCTAATAAGTTGGCAACTTAAAATTACTCTGGTTTTTGTTCCCCTTCTGCTGTATAACAGAAATTACGCTTGACATTGTTGGCTTGAAAAAAGTTTGCAGTCATGCCAGTTTAGACTGAATTATGTATTTTTGCTGTGATTCTTTATATTTTGAATTTCACTTCAGATAGAAACATCAAGCTAAATTGCATAATAGCATGCAATAGTTGAAGTTATTAGCATTAGCACATTATGTTAACATGAGAGTTAATGGTACAGGGTTAAAATTAGACAAATAAGCTGTGTAAACAGTTAACATGTTAATGACACGTTTGTATTTGCAATTTTTCCAAAAAATCAGGTCACATATAAATATGCTAATAGCACAGGTCCTTTCTGTTCAGAGGTCACAGTGTTCAAAAATGAATCTGTGACAGAAAACACAACTTAACAGCAGCATAACCAAATCTGAGTTTTACTTTTTAATTTAAGCACTTTTTGTTTTCTTTTAAATTAGAACAGAAATAAAAACATTCTTTTTAAGACACGAAACCTTCTTCTACCAGCTCTTGAATATTGGTATAAAACCGATCAAGTAATTATAGGGAGAATTTGTTTAATTTTCAACCAATGTCATCACAAGTTTGACAGATGCATTTTTTCTTGTGTAGCAAAACATAAAGATGCTTCCGTTTTCTTTAGTAAAGCAGGAGTGGTGAATTATTATTGGAGCCTTGTTATTATTTTTTGAACAGATTAATTATCTTTTTTGTGATCCCAAGTGTTGTTTGCATAATTTCTACAGTTATCAAATGTTAGTCATGGCTCCCTGTTTTCCTGCTTAAATAAAAAACTGGTTTGTCAGACTTGCAGATTAAACAGCCAGGATGGGCTGAACGACCTAACTATCATTTATAACCCTATTTATGCTGAAAATAGATTTTTCCAGTCTAGATATTTTGTTGCTGTATAAATGCCACATGGGGAGAAGAGAAAATAAAATGTCCTGTCTTTTCTGAAGAATGTTTTTTTGGATTCGCCTAAACATGCGTACATAACTTTATAAAAGTGTGCGCTAAATTCATTTATGCATATTGCCCACATATCACATTTTATTTAATTCATTTTAATGTAGTACTTTTATGGACATTTTCTTGTTTTGTGATTATAGCAGGTAACAAATGTCTCTGTTTCTAATTTTTCATTTTTAATTCCTTTTTTTTGTTATGTCTTAAGGAACATGAAGACTGCTAATGATAAATCCATTTGGGGTGTCTAGCTAATTTTTTTAATAGCTAATGTAAGGATCCAGGCATTTCTTTGAAAGTTATCTGCTACAACATGGCTGTGTAGCTTGTTCCAGATTTTCACATAACTTTTTATTAGGAAGTGCCTATGTTTTTCAGTTCTTAAAGCAAGTACCTTTAGTTTCAATTTTTGTCTTCTGGTTCACGTTTCAGTGTTGATGAAAAGGTTCGTAAGGTGAACTTTCAGAATCAACTACTTGAGTGTGTCCCTTCGGGTCTTCTCCGTTTGAGACTTGGAGATTTGGAAAATGTTTAGTTCTGTCAGAGTAGGAATTTCTCTCTGCCTGGGAATATACCTTGTATGTACCTTCTTTGGGGGCAGCACAGTAGTACAGTGGTTAGCACTGCGGCCTCACAGCATGGATGCCCTGGGTTCAGTTACAGACCTGGAGTGCTATCTGCATGGAATAGGTAGGTTCTCCCCATGTTTGCGTGGGATTCTTCCGGGTGCTCTGGTTTCCTCCCACAGTCTAAAGAGGCATGCTGGTAGGTTAATTGGCTTCTGGGTGAATTGGCCCTGGTGTGACTGTGAACATGTCTGTTTTTGTGTCTTTTCTGCAATGGACTGGCTTCCCATCCGTTTTGTACCCTGCCTTGTGCTGTTGCCTGCAGGGACGGGCTCTGGTTTCCCCGCATCCCTGAATTGGAAGAGACTAGAAAATACATTGATATACTGTCTGTAGACAATATGGATTTGTGCACAGGAA